AAAAAGAAAGCTACGTTTGTTCGGTCACATCTGTCGAATGGACGATGATAGACTGATAAAACATATCATGTTTTCAAGACTCAATGGTAAATCGAAAAGGGGACGTCCATGTAGAGAATGGCTGGACGACATCATAGAATGGAGTGGACGCAGTGGACAGGACCTGTTCCACCTGGCACAAGATCGGAGACAATGGAAAAACATTATCCGATCAGTGGTTGGCCCCAACGGGTGATAAACCCATGGGACATAGTGAATAGTGAATGCAACTGACATTTCGCTTTTGTTAAGCAAATGTCAAATCGTATATGAAGAAAAGAAGCGTTTTGATTTTGATAATCCTCAATCTATGTGTGAAGATGAATATTTATCTTTAACAAGTTTATCAAAGGCTCATTTCAATAATCTTATTTCTCGAATATCATTATCAGATATTCGCAATACTAGTAACAGATCGGTTCTCACTGTAATTGCAATATTATTATGCAAGCTTCGGCTCGGTCTATCAAATAACATGCTAGCTATTTTATTTCAATTGTCTAGCAAGAGAGTGGTATCGCCCGCTCTCGAAAGCGCTAGGTCAGCGCTGATGTGAGACTTTGCACCGGGTGTGGGTACAATCCTGATGTCCATGCATACCCACACAAGCGCTGAAACTAAATTTTAACTTCTCTTTGGGCTCAAAGTATCAAAAAATTATAAATTGAGCATACTGAACAAAGACGCCACTCTTTGTACAATATCTGGCATTTAAAACGTCATAAGATTGCTAAACTTGTCAAAAGCGAATCAAAAAGAAAAAACAGATACATAATTGATGGAGATGATAATATTAGTCGAATAGAAGAAGTATCTTTTCGAGGAGATAATGAGGGTATGGGTGTGGGCGTGGGCGGCTGTGACTGTGGGTGGGTGTAGGTGTGCGTTTAACTTTTCTTAATCTAGACCTGTCCATATCCCACGCCCACACTGATAGCCACACCGCACACCCACACCCACATTCACACTCTTCTGTGGTGTAACATTCGATTCTGACGATCCGGATGAAGTCAAATATGAAATTTAGAATTACGCAAGATCTTAAGGGGTATATTGTGGTTTTCAAAGGAACACTGATGGATCAAGGTCGGCATGAGAAGGGAATTATTTCTGGTTTGCGATGATATGTCATGAAGATATTGTTAAGATTGGGTATTAATATCTCTAGGAGTTTCAACTGAGTAAACATGTGTTTTGATTATTTCGCAGACGTAGTCAACATCTTCCTGGTTCATACCATGGTGGGCGCCGATCAAGAAACCATTCTTCATAATTTCATCTGCATTCAGGAAAGCTTGATGGTACTGCCGGTAAGCAGGATGGCGAGTGATATTGCCAGAAAAACAAACTCGCGTCTGAATGCCATTTTCTTCGAGCTTTTGAAGCAGTGCCTTGCGGTTTGGAAACATTAGTGGTAATGCCAGCCAGTCTATTTTGTCATGATTTTTGGGTAACACAAGGCCATATGATTCTAGCTCCTTGAGTTGTTCTACAAAACGATTTACATTCCGACGGCGTCTTTCAAGAAATAATGGCAATTTTTTTAATTGTTCCAAGCCAAACGCAGCATTCATCTCAGTTGATTTAAAATTATAACCAAGAATAGGGTATAAAAATTTGAAGTCATATTCGATACCATCAACAAAGTGCCCAAAACGTTCCGTGAAAGATTCGCTGTTAGTACCCATTCTACCCCAATCACGGTACTGTAGAGCTAGGTCACGCTGACTTTTCTCATTACACATAACCATCCCACCACCACCGCCAGCTGTAATGATATGACTGGAGTAAAATGAAGCTACAGAGATATCCGTTATTGTAGTGTTTGTGATTGTATCACAAGAGTCTTCGATTAGTAAAATATCTTCTCGACCCAAGATAATTAATTTTTCTTTTAATCCTTCCCAATTTGGCTTGCTCCCGATGAGGTTTGGAAGAAAGAACGCTTTTGTACGTGGGGTAACTTTTTCGATGACATGTGCGACAGGTGGCACATACGAACCCTGTTCGACATCGCAGAATACGGGCACAAGTCCAAGTTGAATAATGGGTGAGATAGTCGTAGAAAAGGTACATGCGGGCGTAACAACTTCATCACCTGGTTTTAAACCACCAATTAACAATGCTAATGTGTTACCTGATGAACCTGAGTTAACCATTATACCAAACTGTTTTCCAAAAATGTTTGCTAGTTCACGCTCAAAATGTTCAGTAATGGGACCTGGAGCAAGCCAACCTTGTTTTAAGCAGGTTTCAACAGCTTTGATTTCTTCATCGCCATATGATTCAAACTTATTTGGTGCGTACCAAATTTTCTTCCTTGTTACAGGAATCTCACTTCTTGATGAATCCATTTTTAAAGCCAGGAACTTTTTACTTAATCACGCTTTTCAACTGTCAAAATACTGCAATCTCCAGAAAGTGTGTCGCGACAATCTGTAAATCAATGTTTTTTCTATCGATATTTCATGTTTTCCTATAGCTTTTTCATATTTTAGAAAAGATTCGTACATCTTCCACTATTAAACAGTTACTCTGAGTTTGATTCCAGGTATTTCTCACCTCATTTTGCGCTCCGCTATTGGTATTCACATATGGAAAATGATACCCGTAGTAGTTGTGGCATATTTATTTTACTCTTGTTTAGAGAGATATAGAAAAGTGACAACTTTAGTCGGTAGTTATTTTTAGTAAACTAAAAGTACTATCCATAGATCATGCAGTCAAATGAAATCAAAAAATTACTTAGAACACACCAAAAATAGTGCCTTTATATCCTATTTTCGCATAGAATGCTTTGAAAATATGTTCTCTTTATGAACAGATCGTACTTCTTTCTCTGTATTTTTCGATGCCATTTGATCACTATTCAACTGATACCACAATAATAAACTTCCGCCAAGAACTGGTTCTGTTGCGAACTCAGTGGCGTTATTAGATCATAATAGGTGGTAAATTTCCGCATCATTTTATTATCACTCAATAGTTTGTATTAAGAAAACAAAATGTCGCACAATATGCAGAGTAACAAGCCTTACAATTCGTACAGGATCCCTTATTCGATGACTGCTCTTTTTATTTTTTAAATGACCAAGACTCTGAGCGACCAAACCGCGATGTTTCAAAAAAGAGATTATTTTTTGCCAAAAATCGAATCTGTTTTTTTCTGATCCCATCTTTTTATCACCAGCACTACTTTATTAGAAATAAGAAGGCTAAGGAGGGAAGTATCCTAGGTCTATACCATGAATTTCAGTGGGATTTTCGACCATAGATTCTGCACAATGCTCTAATAAACACCCTGAGAGAGTTTTAGTGTGCAACGCTTCCTTCAAAAGCTATGATGATTTCACTGATTTGTGGACTCACTCCTAGATATTTATAGAAAAGATCAAATTATGGCATTTCAACCTGCACTTTAGTCGAAGCGTAGATATAATGATGTTGAAAATATCCTGAATATTTCAGCCAAAAGAAATGTGCCTCTCTCTCGATGCTGACTTTTCAAAAATAGGTGCTCGCCATAGGTAGCTCAGAAACACCGACTTCATATATAAGTTCAATATCTTGGCAAAAGAAAATTTCTTTGGTTAAGCCTTATAGCATATTTTCTAGGCCATTTGACCTACAGTTAGGCTGAAGTTTAGATCGAAATGCCATAACTTGATATTTTCGATACATATCTAGCAATGGATCCAAAAAACAGTATAACGGTTATAACTTTTAAAGGAAGCGCTACCAATGTGAAAAAATAAGAGCAATAACCAAATTAAAATCGATTACAAAATGATTAAAAAAACAATCATAATCATTCACTTATAATCAATTTTTAATTAAAAATAATTAAAAAAACACGTTTTCATCGATTATTCATATTATTTTGCATTATAATCGAATAAAAATTCCAGAAAATAACTTATCATAATCGATATTAGGGATGCAACGGTGACGGTAACCGTTTCACCGGTAACCGTTCAACCGGTAACCGGTTCAGATCGGTTATCGTTCCACTCACATATTATTTTACGTTTGGAGCTATATCTTAAATAAAATTTTTATGAAAAAAAATTAATTTTTTCTAATTTTTTTTTATACAGAAAAAGACTGCGAAAAAATTAATTTTTGAAAAGAAAAATTTTTTTTCATAAAAATTTTGGGTGTTCCACAAAAATTTTATTTTTGCTCAAAAAATCGTTTTCTGTATAAAAGAACAATTTTTGAAAAAAAAATTTTTTTTTCATAAAAATTTTATTCAAGATATAGCTCCAAACGTAAAACAATATGTGAGTTGAACGATAACCGATCTGAACTGGTTACCGGTTGAACGGTTACCGGATCAAACCGGTTACCGGTTCATACCGGTTACCGGTTCATACTGGCTACCGGTTCATACCGGTTACCGGTTCATACCGGTTACCGGTTCATACCGGTTACCGGTTCAACGGTTACCGGTGGAACGGTTACCGGTTTACACCGGTTACCGGTGGAGCGGTTTCCGCTGAAGCGGTTACCGATTGCTACGATCAAGCAGTGACTAATCGTCACCGTTGCATCCCTAATCGATATTAATCGATTTTTGCACAACTTTTAATCGTTTATAATTAAAAATAGAAGCAATAATCGATGAAATTTTGATTTTTTGTTCATTTTTGAT